GGGAGAGAGAAAGAAGAGGACAGGGAGAGCGCAGAGGAAAACTGCAGAAAACCACAGGGAAAGTACGGTACAGCCTCAGATCTTTTCTTTTTCTATTTTTTAAAGAACTTACTTCTAGTTCATTTTCCCATCACTCCCGGCTCCTGCCTAACTGGTCGTGTCGGGGACATTTGGCATGGCGCTCTCGCTTTTGTTCCTTTTAATTCCGCGGCCCCCTACTCTTCTGTGGGTTGATTACCGCGCCCGGAAGGCTTCCTGCTAACATCCAAGGGCAACAGGCTTTGCAAACCGGACCACCGCCGGGCTAGATGTTTTTAAAGTGGCACTTTCTTCCCTGGGCATATTCAGGATTCTCTTAATCAATACTCATTTTTTTCCAGGACAAGAGGAGACCAGCTTAACTCAGAGCACACTCTCTCCAAGCGGTGCGGACTAGGGGCCACCTCGGAGAGTCTTTGGGGGCCTCGGTGGAATTGGGAGGGAGGAAGTGAGGAGGGAGTCATTTGGGTGTTTGATGTTGTTTGATGTAGTCGTGAAGGGGGTGGGGGGTAATGCGCGCGCGTGCGCGCGCGATTGGTGTGCGCCTCCAAAGTGGATCTCACTTGGATTTGGAAAGCACTGGAGGGAAAGAACCGGGAGAGAGAAAAAGAGAGGAGGAAAGAGACGATGCCGTGTAAGGAGGAGTGGCTGGTGCTCCCGGCCCAGCTTTGTTGTGGTCTCTAGAGGCGCAGCGGCCAGGCGGCCGGATCGCTTGCTCACCGCTGTGTTAATTACACTGGGGCGATTCCGCGCGGTCGGGAAGAAGGGGACGGCTCCGAAGGAACTTTTCCAAAAAGGGAAAGGAGGAAGGGGGGAGAAAGATAACTATCCCAACAGTTTGTGTGGGAAGTAGTTCTGGCGGGTGTCTGGTCCAAACCCTAGCCCGAGCTGCACCCGACTTCACCTCCGCTGGGCCGGTTTCCCGGCGGCCGCGCGTCAATCACGCCCTGCCCGGAGCTGGGGGCGGAGCTACGGTCACTCCGCGCGCCCGGCGCAGCAGCCCCGCCGCCCCTCTGCTCCCGGCAACGCAGCCCAGCCAGGTTCTGTGTTGGGCGCGCGCCCTCTTCCCAACTTCTCGCTCTCGCCCGGGTTCTTGAATCCTGGTCCAGAGAGTCGAAAACGACTTTTCTTCAACAGCCGCCTCCTTTCCTAACTTTGAATTCATTCTGGAAAATAGAAAGCGTATTCTACGTGCGCCGCTTTGACCTGACTTTCCGTGGGGTGTGTGATTAGGAAGAATAAAATACTCTGTGTGTGTGTGTGTGTGTGTGTGTGTGTGCGTGTGTGCGTGTGAGTGTGTGTGTGTGTTTGCGCGCGCGCACGGGTGGGAGTGAGGCGAGGGCGGGTGAGAGAGTTGGGATTTTTTTTTTTTTGCCCCCTTTCCAGCTTTTCTGCTTCGCTGTAAGCTTTTGAGCAACACAACCTAGGGTAAGATCGCAGCTTGCAGAGACTCCGGAGTCGGAGAAATTTGGCCTTTTTAAATAGGGCTGGGGAATGAGCTCCGGAGGTCAATAAAGCCCTCCAAAAATGATGAATGATTGAGCACCTGTGATGGTGATAGTGATTACCAGAGCAATTAAACAGTTTGATTAAATGAGCCATCATAACAATGATGTCTGCGGGAAATCGGCCCTCACATATAAAGAAAGATAGTGCGGGGAGGCTGGCAGTGACACGGATAGCGCGACGCCAGGGAGAGGGACTGTGGACCACGAAGTGTTTGCCGGGGTGGCTCGGGCAGGGACTGCCAGGTTCGCGGAGCCTCAGCGAGGGGAGTCTAGCCAGATTTTCAGCCACTCTTTTTTGCCTGGCTTCAAGCCTGCTAGAGCCAACGGGCATAAAACCTGAAAGTTGGGGGGAGGGTCCCCCTCCGCCTCCTCTTTTTTTTTTTTTTTTTCCTAGAAGAACTCCAAGATTAAAAATATCCTTCCTATTTGTTGCGGAGTTGCTCGTCGACACATAAGAAAAGGTGAGTAAAAAAGAAAAGACGCAAAGGAAAAGAAAAAGTTGGTCTCCGAAATTTTATTTGATGCGGCAGTTAACGCGAATTCAGTTTAGCCGGGACAAGAGGATGAAAAAGAAAAAACCCAGTCTGGTCTCGCTGCAGAGCATTTTTGACTTTGCAGTGATTTTGATGTTGGTGGGTCCCAGTTCCCGCGGCAGCAGCGCTGACTGAGAAAGTTCACAATGTGTTTCAGTTTTTAAATTCCAAATTGGGTATTTACTGTCGCCAATAGGATTATTGTTGTTTCAGATGTCCTATTAAGTAAGCACCAATTCCATTTCTTAAGAGAAACGCCTCAATTTCCCTGATTAACGCTTCTTTTGTAAAGATTTATACGGAACCTCCGCATCGCAGTTTAAACATTGAACGTCCCTACGTTGAGCTTCTTTTTACCACCGCTTCTTTTATATAATGATATGGTAGAGTTAGCCTCTCTGCAGCCTTCATTTAGAAAAACTTTGCTAGCTTTTTTTAAAAAATGTTTCTTCCGTGGTAGTGCAACTGAGTGAAAATAGTTCACAGATTCATGACTTATTTCTGTATTTTCAATTGATGGTTAAGCTTTAAAAAAAATGGTTATCTTGTGATAATCTTGGGTTTTACAAAAGAAGAAACTGTGTAAACTCTTATTTTCATCCTTTGGGCAGTGCAGAGGGCATTTTAACCTGAACTATTTTTTCCTTCCTCTCATCTTTCTTTCTTTCCTTCTTTCCTTCTTTCTTTCTCTTCTCTCTCTCTCTCTCACACATTCTATAACTTATTTTGCATTTTATTGAATACATTATAGCAAACAACAGGGATAATCTGGTTAGGTGTAAGAGGGAGAGAGAAAAAGGACATCTTAAGATACTGTCAAAGAAAAACATCGTCTTTAACTCCGAAGACTTTTAGTTAAGGAGTGTGGAAGTGTTAAAAGTGCAGCCCTGATGGAGAAAACTGTGTTGTTCTAAAATTCACCAATTGCTTAAGGGAAGAACCCCCAAATTTCTTATGAGTAAAGAGATTCACTTACCCAGTTGCATGTCATTTATGAAACTGTTGGTTTAATTCCCAGTATAGTGGTTTACACACAAGATCAGGCTGGAGTTGATGCAGAGTATCGGTTCTTGGTCAATCTGCTGTATCCAAAGGACTATGTCTTTTAATTAGCAACTTGCTGGTGTTTCATTCATACAGCTTAAAAAGTCCACCTAACATTTAAGGATTTCCTGACCCCCCCCCCTTTTCTAATTTTCTAGCCCGATAAAAGCCATTCCAAAGCTGTGGGATCTGGTGCTACTTTCCTGTTGCCCGGTTGCCCGGCTCATCTACTGTCCCGTATTTGGGGTGAAGGGAAAGTAGGTGGGGCGGGCCAGGGAGACGGCGCGAAATGGGGGTCGCAGGAGGCGGCACACACCTCCGTCAACAGTCAGCTCCTTCTGCCTGGGCTGGAAATGGTTTTAACAGGCGGTAAAATTTCATCTTGCGGTGTCAAATTGGGGTCATTTTGGGGTTAGAGTTCTCAGTGTCCGAGAGGAGCTGTCCAGCTGCGTGGGGACTCATTAACTGCAAAAGATCTGTTTCAGTAAAAACAATTCAAAGACAATCAGAAGGCTAAAGACCCTCTACAAATCGCATTTTACTAGTGCCCCAGAACAAATATGGATGGTGAAACCTATTTCTTCAGAATCCCAAATCAGCTACTTAGCTCTGGAGTGGGGGTGGGGGCACTGCATAAAAAAAGAGGTAGAAGGGAGGGGTCCTAAGGGGTGAGGGTGAATGGGAGGGGGACTTGGGCCTCTCAAATTTAAGAGTCTGTTTTTAATCACCTCTTATTGAAGCATCCCCAAGACTTCTGAAAACTGGGTCTTTTCTATTTTTCTTTTTTGATCCAACATAGAATGCTATTATAGGTAACATTTAAGATTTAATAAGTATAATTGAAGCTGACTCTAGTTTCTTAATTTAAAGAACATTGGCTTTATGGAGAGTATTTCATTTAAAATGAGCATTTATGAACCCACACTCTATTTTAGGTGAATTTGTCCACTCTTCTAAGGAAGCTTCTGTGGCAATTTCTTTTTGTTTTTAAAGAAAGTTATAGCTCCTCAGCCCAGAAAACTTCAAATGCCTTAGAACGGTAAGGTCCAAAGTGTTAATCTGTGTATTATAATAAAATCACTGGGTTTAAGTCCTTTTTGTTTTCTTACAACATTCAGAACAATTGGTGCCTTGCTAGAGGAGCAAATAAATCCAACCTTAATCTTGTCTGTAACTTTAGTTAATGCTTTTGACTTGGGATATTTTGTAGTAAGCAGGTTTTAATTTTTTTTTTTTTTTTTTTTTTTTTTTTTTTTTTTTTTTTTTTTTTTTT